GTGTTGCGACCACGTGGTGGTGGTGGTCCTGACACCAAGACAATGGGGCATCCACAGCTTCTCTGGGCAGCCTGTTCCAGTGCCTCACCACCCTCACAGTGAAAAATTTCTTCCAGACTATAGCTGAAGGCTTTTTTCCCTAATGTGCTCCTTTGCTGTCATCAAAAGGTAGAGTGAAGAAAATCTGGAAATACTTAATTTCTTAATATCACTGGCATCATTGCAACCCACAGAGATATGCTGAATCTTCTTGATCTGTAGTGGATTGGCAGCACTCAGTGAAATAATTATAAAATCATAAAATTCATTTATTTATTATAAAGCTGTCAGTCACCTACCTCCAGCTTCTGCTTAGTCCCACCAGTTGTAAGAGGGGCGGGTTGCCAGAGGTGTTGCTGTGGTGTTTAACAGGGCTTCTACTGATAGCAAACCTCTCCCTCCTCTCCCCTCTCTTTTGCCTTTAAGGGGTTGCACAGGAATGTGCAGAAATGCTGTCTGAGGGCCTGGATTTCCAGACAGGTTCAGGAAAGTACTTATTTTGTTTGGGCAATTGTATATATCCTTCCAAAAAAAAAAAAAAAGAAGAGTATTTATAGATTAATGACTTGCAGTTGTTGCACATTTCTTTCCCTCATTTCCAGCAATGTTCTAAAATATTTACATCGTTTGGCAGCCAGAAAAGATGTAGCCCTGTCTATAAGCTTTAAAGCAAGTTGTGTGGCAGCCTGGCACATTTTGTATCCAGAGGGGAGTTATAACCTGGCGGTCCCAAACTTAATTCCTCCGGGGCTCACTTTGTGTCTTGTGCTGCTTGTGACAATGCTTCCCCCTCCCCAAAATCTCATATTTTCTGTTTAACAAGCTGGCTGAGGACAGCCAGCTGTGCCGTGTCCTGCCGACTTGGGAGGGAGATTCCTAAAAGACAGACTGCCTGTAAGCTCCCCAAGGTGGAGATCTGCTCTGGGATTGGGGGCTGCAACATGAACTTACCTGGCCGTATTTGTTTGCTGGCATTTATGCACCCTGGTACTTATTTGTCTGCTCTGCATCATTTGAAAGCAGCTCTTTTCAGTTACTTTGTCATAACTGCATTGAGGTTAGTGGCCTTGGCAGGAAGCTTCCCAGATATTTTGGATCAGTTATAATGAATGCTTGAAAATATCCAACTGAATCTCTCATACAAATAGAGCTTTCATCTCAGATTAGTATTATTCCGAGGAGTTTGTTCTGTGGGCTCCCACTACTGTAAATAACTGAAGTCATCATTGGCTTTTGGCCATTTGATTTAACAACCTTGATACCAGGAAAGTACTCAACAGGAGAGGAGACAGTAAAAACAACATAGGCAGTAAAGTATCTGTACTCCCCAGATCTCCCTTGTTAAACCCCACCGCACAACCACGACTGCAAGTAACTGGTTTTCCATGACAAAACCCTAACACATTGCTAGCACCTTCCTCCCAGCAGAGTTCTCCCTGCAGCTGGCCTCTGTGTCAAAGGAGCCCAAGAAGCTTTATGGTATTTCCAAGACTAGTTGAGAGTTATTGCTTCAGTGAAAAAAGAGACTTTAAAATTACCTTTATACGGAGGATTCTGAGGGGGGTACTTGAACAGGAACTTTGATTATGGTGTTTATAATATTGCTGTTTCCTCTCTAAAAGTCAAGGAAAATCAGGCATAAGGAATAATTAACGTGGGAGAAACTCCTTTTAATTCTACATACCTCTGACTGCTGCTGTCTGCTGTAATTGACCGTTTTCTTTATCTGAGAAAGCAGTCCATAGGATCAATGCTCTTCTGAGTTCTCACAACAGCGTCTGTGGATCTGCTGGATTCATTTGTTGTGGCCAAAATTAAATGAACTTACTGGAGAAAGATGAAAGGGTACAGGAACAAAGCAAAGCCTATAGCTATTTATATATCTACGCTAAAGAATTTGAGAATTACGAGATAGGAACACCATACGTAGGTTTGTGAATGTGCGAAAGTGTTTGATCTTTCTTCTAAACTGTTTATTTCTGGAAGTTTGATAGGAGACATGCCCTTTTAGAGGGAAAATCCGTTCTCTGTCACAGGACATGCACAGTGGAACGTTGCTGAAATGTTTTGTGGCCATATCACCATCCTGATTAATGGAAATTTATATTATGTGTTCTGAGAGCAGTTAATGCCATTATAGTCTTTAACGTGCTATTGTGGTTTCCTTGAACAGGAGCGGGAGAGGAAGCAAGGCACAGGCACTTGGTGCTGTGTGGACGTGGCTCCTCCGCTGCCTCGCCCCCGGGGAGGTTGGCTGTGCTCCCCAGGGTGTGGGGCAGGTGCCCTGCTCTGCCTTGGGA